TGTATCTTAGTATTTTATTTTAATAACAACATACAACAAAACAAAAACGGTAACACATTTGATTTGCTGTTGTAGCCGATCGATATTTTATGATCGTGGTCGTTCTTTTTTCTCACGGTATAATGCCCATAATGAAACATTAGCTACTTTAACGACTTTGAAACGAACACCCGGAATATCACCGACGGCATGACCTTTACGACCGAAACCAGCAATTAAAACTTCATCGTTTTCCTATTGAAATAAAACATAAGAAAGACAATAAAAAAAACATTTAATTACTTCGATATAGTTAAGACAACCATCCCGTGGTACGAAAGCAGTGATCTTTTTACCATTTTTGATCAATTGAACTCGAACACACTTACGGATAGCTGAGTTAGGTTGTTTAGCTTCGACACCACTAAAAAAATAGACAAAATGATTCTAGCAAAAACAAAAGAAAGTCTAAGATAACCATACACTTTTTCAAGTACGATGCCTTTAGCATGAGAAGCACCAGCAAATGGATTACTTTTCCAGCGTGAACCCAAATGAGACTTCTTATAGTCTTTATCGTGCCATCGTTGTTCACGTCGATGATCTTTAAGTTTACGAGCGGTACGAAGACCACGAGGTTTACCTAAATTTTTTTTAAGAAAATAAATATAATGATAATCATATAAATAAAAAAAATTAAAATAAATTACCCATTCTATTAAGATAAAGGTAAGAATCGGGTGATTATCTAAAGTAAAAAAGTATATGTAGAAGTGATTACATGGTCAATAGAAAAGACTATAAAAAAAAGAGGTTTTTACTACTTGTTTGTTTATTTACAACAGACTCGTTACAGAAAGAAGCAAATCAAATAATCGTGATAATAAAATTGGAGGATTGTATAGATGTCACTTCATTTCTTTCATATTGTTGTAAACAATAGTAACAACATGAGAAAAAAAACAATCTGATTGTTTGAATTATTTGTACCTTATTTTCTACTGCGCAAACGATTTTAATCTAATATTGACAAAAATTGCATTTTTTTTGCGTAGAAATAAATAAATTTTGATCCTCATAAGACTTCTTGCCAGCAAAATATGGCAGCCGTTACTATACAGCAATTTTATGTCTTTTTTCTATTCGTTCTTTCGTCTTTTTTTTTTTCTTTCTATTTACGACGACAGGCACCCTCAAAATGTAAACACCCCTCATCATACGAGTAGTAGCAGCATCAAAGACATGTAAATATATGACCTTTATTTCGAACAAATCGAACTGATTTGACACATTAATAATGATTTAATATGAAAAATCTTTATATTTTAGATGAATACTTTGTAATCTTCCATCTTCTTTTCTTTTTTCTACGTTTTATAACTTATTGTCGAAAATAAATCGAATCGACAATCGACAAAAAAAAAAGAAGAATCTATATTGTTTTGCATTTTGTGATATGATGTAAGTATTGATATTGTATTTAACAATATAAATTTTTGATTTTTATTTAAAAGATCTTCTTTTATGCAACATGTTGCCAACAAGTCAGACATCACCAGTACCTTCACATCGTTGCTTAATTCCAATTAACATTGAAACATTAGCTGGATCATCATTTGAATTACTTGTTTCACCATATGAACAAATTCAATATATAAAACGTAAAATTGAACGACGAGAAGGTATACCTGTTTCACATCAACATCTTGTTTGGAAATCTAATGAACTTGAAGATGAATCATGTTTACATGATTATAAAATTGAAGCTGGTACAACGATTAAACTTGTCTTAGCTATGCGTGGTGGTCCTGTTAATACAAAACGTGTACCAATTGAAGATAGTTTTATACGTGATGTCTCAGAATATATTGAAAGTAATCGTGATGATTGTCCTATAAATAGTGATTTATTACCATCATCAAATAAAAATGTTACGTTTCTTGTTTTACGTGATGGTGATCAATTTAATTTTTTTCAAGTTATTGATAGGGGTGACGGTACACTCTCACCTTTGTCCGGTTCTGTGAGGTAAAAAAAATTAATTTTCTAATAAATTTTTTAACTATTTTATTTCTTTTTTCGATTTGTTTCATTAGTAACGCTTCAATGTATAGTACACATGAAACTATCGCTATTGAATCAGAACGTGAAAATGATGAAAAACGACTAGATGATGATCGTAAAACAAAACAAAAAATGGAACTGATTCGATCAAAACTAAAAACGCATGCTAGAAAAGTAAAAGAATTTAAATCATATAATAGGTAATTAATATAGAATATATTATTACTTTCATAAGGATATTCTTCCACTTCGTCCTCCATCAGCAACAAAACAATCAAAAACAGAACTGATTCATCATCATCGTCGTAATATATTCGTTGATTCAACGTCACATTTAAGTACTAAAGATATCAATTCACATGCTACAACTTCATCTTCAGAACCACAGCAACAGCAACACCGTTTTGCACCCTATAAATTTTCATCAACCAATCTTTTTAATACATATAATATATTAGCAGCTGCTGCTATTGAACGATCCGAATATCTTCATGAAGAAGATAGTGAAGATGAAGAAGATAGTCATGATGAAGATGATGATCAACAAGCACAAATCGAACAACAACCAATGTTATCAACTCCACCGCCACCACCACCACCATCACTTATACCAGTTAATTCAAAAAAACAACAACTATTAACAACTAGGTCATTTTCACCATCAGTTTTTTATCAAAAAAGTCATCATCAATATGAACAAGAACCATTAAAAAAATCTCTTTATCATTCACATCATCAAGATCGAACGACAAAAAACCTTCTTGGTCAACATGATTCAAGTAGTACTCATGATACATATGCACAAAGTTCTATGAATACAATACTCACAAGTAGTTATCCGTCAGTAACACTTGGTAAATAAATAACTATTTTTTTT